TTTTTCAAAAGTTTTTCAGTTTATGGGGAGCCAAAGCATATTTATTTAATTAGGTTTTCTAGGTCTTGGTTTGTCATTACAAATATTTTGTTCCGCCAAACAATTTTGTGGTTTTCATATCATGACATGAATTGCTGATAGGAGACACAAACTTGGAGATATGCCCAACATGCATAGTTGCAAAGTTTCACATCTGTCCATCTTAATACTTCAACTCTGTGTTTGGAAAATGTTGCGAATAATGATTAAGGGCCTTGAAATTTTTGTAAGTGTATTATTTTACAGACAGTTGTCTATTATTATTTTTCATTTTATGGGGTGAATGAGGGGCCTAAAATCTTAAGGTTAAAAGAGGGCAGGAGACACCTCAGAATGAAAGGAAAAATGAACATCACTGTACTGGAACTGGATATGATCTGTGTGACCATGTGATTTAGACAAATGCTTCTCAACTAGTATTTGGGACAAACCATCGTCCCACAATAAAACACTGAGGCACAGATCAAGGGGAATTATCAACTTTTCAGATTTATTGGATAAAAAGATGAAGCAGTTTAGACCTGAGAATGGTCTTTTTTTTTTTTTTTAACCATTCAGTTTTGATGGCTTCATGCTTTCACATGCCAACGCCTTGCTGCACAAAACAATTTTTGTATTCTTTAGTCCTCAATATAAGAAAATCCAAATTTTTGCCTTGGCAATGGCAACTGAAGGCTGCAAGCCACTGAAAACTAGTCCCAAGGATGGGTTGCGAATTATCAGTTGAGAATCTCTGACTTAGAGGTTCCATCTTCCTCCAGGAAGTGTGGTAAGAACCTAGACTGTGGAATCTGAGGGATTCTGGTCCTCAGACGTACTACACTCTGGTAAAGTGTCCTTGAAATTCAGCTGTTGAGAATTCTTTGTCGACTCTGAGGAGTATGAAGTGTGACTGGGTGTTGACACGGTGCTGAGCACGGCATCTGTCAGTTCACAGCTTTGATAGGGTGAAGTACTCCATAGCTGTGGCCCCAGTAATTTCCATTATGCAGATCTTTTCCATCATGCAGATGAGATGTTAATGAAGCTCCTCACTGCTCATACCCTTTAACTCAGCGCTCGGCTCCACACATCTGTTATCTGAAGTGTCAGGGTCGAGCCAACAGTTTGACAAGGCTCTGACCTGGTGACTTCTCTCTTCCACAGACGACCGCCCGCCAAAAGGATCAATTACATCAAGCAGGGGTGCCTGGCACCGTTCCGTTGCCCGTGGCAACAGCTGGCCGAGGAGTGGGAGCTCATCACAAGGGAAGGAAGAGAGGAAAGGAAAAGAGACGACCAGAGTGGAACCACAACGCACTCAGACACAGCTGTGGAAGAAAAGACAACACATATAAACATCAGTGAAACCAAACCACCGAGCTGCTTCACTGTTCTGAGGTTAGTCCAGCTGATACAGGGCTTCAGCAGGTATTTAACTGATTTTTATCCACAAAGATGGTACAGGTAATATTTATATATATTTATATGATTTATATATATATATATATATATATATATATATATAAAGCGTGAGTCTAAACATAATGCAAAAGAATAGCCAACAATTGGACAAAAACTAAGGTTCAGACCTACACATTTGAATCACACTGCTAATGATGTTCACACTTTTGACATTTAGCAGCGTGCACCTTTTAGTAGCTTTGATCTTCCATCACCACCTCTTGTATATTTTTTTTATTTGCACAGATTTCAGTGAAGCTTGTCACAAGCCTGATATATAGTATTCCTCTCACCGACCTCCATTTTATCATAATGTCCCTGAAGAGAATCCCCAGAGTACATCCAGCTGCAAATTGCTGCAATACATCAGATAGATTAGTGGAAGCGAAGAACTGCATCTGTTCACACCAGACGATGATTTGAGTGATGGCTGGCTGTACATGGGAAGATTGGCTTTATTTTCATCCTGCGTTTTTGATTGCGGCATCAAAAATGATTTGTCAGCAAGTGTTTATGTCTTAGGTCACCTAATAGAGCCCTTGAAAATAGTTCTGCAGGATGTTGAAGGAACAGAAATGACACTTTTCAACATACTGTCCTGTTGCTGAGGACAGAGGTGAATAAAAAAAGAGAATAAGATTCTATATTGCCATCACAAAAGAAAGGTGAAAAGGCTTTGAAGAAACTGATTGACATTTGACACCTGGAGCTTTTCTAATAGAAGCTTTTTTTACTTTTACACGTACAGGATCTGTAGAATAATTGTATTCAGTCTGTTATCAAAAAGATCCCTGGGTAATAGATGTTGGACCTTATATTTTTTTTTACCTGTGATCAAAAATACCAAATGCTGTGCAAGAAGAACTTGCACACCACTGTGTAATTGTACTGTTGTTGTTGTGAAGAGACATTTTATGTTGCATAGCATTTGTAATGTTTTTTGAGCATGTTAGAACGCTGCCTTATAGTAAGGAAAGACAATGCTATCAACTTCAGTTCCATTTAAATTTGGTTTATTTTTCCATCAAGGAACAGGAAGTCTCTCAAGCTTCTCTCTGGTTGGTGTAAACCCACTACGTCCAAAGGTCAGAGGTTGTGCCGCATCAACCAAGCGCCACCTCTGGACCATACAGCTGCACGATCGTTCCTCACACCGAACGAGATGAGTCTGGCCTGGGTGCGCTTTTCCTTGCTTTTCAAAGGTAATCCTGAACTCCATGCCATGGTCTGTGTGCCCCTGGCGGAGGATCTGAAACTGCTGAGGAACAAATCCGATATCAACTGCCCCCAGGAGCCAGTGCACAAAAACCACTTCAAAACTAGAACCAAGAACAAAAAGAAGGGCTCTAAAAAAACACCTGCATCGTCCTTGTCCTCTGACAAGACTGTGGAGAAGGAGTCGGAACTTCCCTCCACCTCTGAACCGAACCTCTCTGCTGCTGAAGACCCACCGACGTCCTCTGACCTTGTCTTTGGACTGTGGCCTGACCCCCTGCCGAGCATCACCTCTCACTGCTCCAGGGTGACTCTAGGCTGGGTCACACAGGGTGACTTCTCCCTGTCCGCAGGCGGTGGGGAAGCTCTGGGCTTTGTCAGTGTGACAGCTCTGGTTCACACCCTCCTCAGTCAGCCCTCAGAACACAGAGGATTGGTGCTGCTGCGAAACCCCTCATCCCTGCATTACCACTTTGCAAAAATTAACATAGAGGTTTGAGTAAAGCATATGATGTTGAACAGCATCAAATGATTCAAATGGTAATTACAGAAAGAAATTGAATCGTGTGTTAATGTTACTGCTTATGTGCAATTATTTTTGCCATATGCTCCATTACCAGATCTCTGTGCCTTGTAATTGCTTTTAGTGAAATGTGCCATGGTCTACATGACAGTGTTGGCTGGAAACCTAATGATGTGTCAGAGGAACAACTACCATCTACCAGGTGTCAGAATTGGAAAGAATTTTTAGTTTTGTATATTATACTCTGGCTATTTTGAACTGAATAAGACTTTTTTCACTTTTACTTTTTAATTTGAAAACCAGAGGATTGTTCTCCTTATTTTCAATCTTATGTCACAGGGCTGGTAATAATTTATAGCTTGTTGTGCTTCCCTTTTCTATACAGGCCCAAATATGCTAAGACTATTTATGTTAGTGGAGTAATTAAGTCAACAACTGGGTCTGAGTTTCAGAAATGTCAGTTTAACAATGGCGCAACCCTAAAACGGTTTTGTTTGAACACAAGTGAATAAAGCCCCGCACTTGACAGAATGCTGTTTGTGTGTAATTACTGTCAGTTTCACCTGGGTAAAAGCCACAGCAGCAGCTCTTTGGAACACTCTGTAATTTAACCTCTAAACTTTCTCACTTGTGAACTGCACACTGACACTTCAGCATTTATAGTTACACAGGCAGAAGCAGCGGTTCTCCACCTATCCCATAATGTGTAGGTGGAAGATAGGAAAAGATTGTTGCTTAGCAACACTAAAGTTTGGTCGAAGTTGAGTCTGTAGTCTGTGGTTGGTTTGAGGTGAAGCTGAAAGCACAAGCTGTGTTTGAGTGGTTTTTCAAGACATTTCCTTCAAGTCCTTGGGAGATTTTTCTGGATGTCGAGTCTGTGGCAAACAGATTTTTCATCTACAGAGAATGTAAAGAGTCTCATTTACAAATTGTTGTTGCAAATGTATGAAAAATAACCATGAAGAGTTTTAATCCATGATTGTGTGGGTAAAATGGGATGGGGTTTTCAGTGTAGACTTTTTTGTAGAAGTAGTAGCACTTGTTCTGTCTGTGACAGTCCTCAGCCATTTTAATATTACTCAAAATACAAAAATTAGTCCACTTCCTAAAAAGTGCTATAAAGAATCTACTTTTAGTTTACATGTTAAATGGCACCAGTGTACTTGTCTTTTCCATGAAAGCCTAGTATTGTTTGTGAAACAGATTGAATTACTGATCCCTGCAACGCAGCAATAAATATAGAAATATAATCCTTATTCTGAAAAAATGGTTCCTCAAATAGCTGGGTAACTGGGAACACAAAGTCAGGCTTGGTGAGCAAGGATGGGTTTTCGCTGCAAATTAAATCTCATCTGCTGCTTGGAGTTATCCCTGCACTTTTAATGATGGTCTCAGAGCAGGTGCTTGTCCTTGTCCTTTCAGGTCGTATATTTAACTCTTCACAAATGTAACACCTACTAGTGTTGCCACTGTCCTTTGTTTTAGTGCACTTATTCTTTTGGCTGCAATTCCAACTCTGTCAGTTCTGTACTTTGTTTAATGTTGCAATAATCCCCTTCATCTTCCTCTTCTTCTGCACCCTGGCAGCTCCATCTCTAGCATCTGTTGTTCAACCTGTTAGCCATCTCCCCTTAGTATATGACCAAAACATGCATGGATTTGTTTTATGTCCAAACTACTCAAGCTGTTTCATTTAAAAAAACAAAACATAACTCAGACTCATTACCTTTGCCACCTACAGTTAGTCGTTAGTCGGAACAACTTTCTTCTGCATGACGTTTGTCTGACTATGGTAAAATATACCTTTTTTATTTAATTCAACTCTTGTACTCTGTACTGCCTCAAATGGTGCTCTGTCGCCCCTGTTTCTCTGCCATTAGAGGGCAGTAGTGCACTTTTCTTTGAATAATGACATAAAACCCTTGAGACCATTGACATTTCAGGTTTTGCCCTGGTTTATTGACACAGTATCACACAGACCACTGTTTTTTCTTCTCGGTGGATAAATACATTTCATGTGTTTTATTTACAGCTTCATGTCACAGCGGCCTGTGGTTGAAGGTGTAGGCTGCTGCTCGTAAAAGGTCTGAGAAGTGCTCTCTTTTCCTGAGGTGCTTTATCTCATTTAGAGTGGCATCTCTCCTACGTGTCATTGATTACCCTGCTGGAAGTGCTGTTAGCACAAGATAAACAGAGAAGAGCCAAGCACCCTTCTGCCAATTGTGGCAAAAATAATTTAACAAATTGGCCATTGACACTGGTTGGAGCTGCTGCCTAACATTTATGGCTATAAATAGAGCTACATTTAAGTACCCAGCGAGTGGTATGCACACACAAATCTGTCTAAATTACAGTCCCAACAGATGGAGTGGATCCTATGAATCCTCTGGTTGGCCAGCTCTGCTGCACATGAATTTGGCTGCCAGGGATTCATATGTGGAAGTCTTTGCCTCAGGCTGCACTTTTTCTGTGTGCCTTTTCCCTGTGAACACAGACGGGCACAGACCATTAGAGAAACTCTGCCGAGAGACACAAACACCAGCAGACATTTAAATCCAGGGTCAGAGCTGCCAATACTCAGTGGTTTTACTTGTGCTTAAATAGGTTAGCACCCAGATGGATTTAGCAGAGGTGTGGGGAATGTTAGCTTTTAAATACATAATAATTTACCCCTTGAACTTAAAATAAGGGCTTATCTTTTCGTGATGCTATTTGGTAGTCAGATGACAGTTGAACATTAGCCAAAAAAGTAACAATATATTCCTTACTTTATGTTAACAGAGTAATGGCTCAAAGTTAGGTGGATTTATCAATTAATGTTGCAGAAACAGCTAAAATATTAATTAAATCATTTTAACTTGAATAATAAAATATTGAAAAGATATTGGGACACATGCAAAAATGAGTTGACCAGACAGGAGAAAACCAATAGTTGGACGACAAAATGCTAGATGTTGCAAAACAGGTGTAACATTGGCGAAGTGGCTTGATTTTGTCCCCCAGATGATGTAAGACAATGGTAAATGGAACAATGGTCTAGCAATTAACAGAATCTTACCAGGGATCCTGTCCATTGAGATAAAATTGGAATCTTCTTGTTTTTTCTTTGGCCTGTTACGTGCTATCAGGAAAACTCCAAGAAAAGACAGCAGACATCTGAAATCAGAAGGGTTTAATGAAATTAAAGTAAATAAAACTTTTTTATTTTTTATTAATATCTGTTTTTTTGCCATATTCTTGTACATACCCCAACAGAAACATAAAAATGTTGAGTAAAGCCAGGCCTTCAAACTCCTGGTAAAATACAATCCCTGTAAAATGAAAAGTCCATTAAAAGTCATTTTTGAGTAATAGTTGGACAAAAATTGATTTCTGTGTAAAGAAACCCAAATTATAACAAAGTGAGTAATTTCTCATCGAATTGGTAGTACTGGTATACAGTGTGTGGAGGCACCGCAGTCTTGATCCTGTTAAACTAGGATAGATGAATTTCTCTGTATATGATTTAAAACTAAAGAGCAAGACAAGTGTTGAAGCTGATGTCCGTTGTGGACATTTGAACTGCTGGAGAACTTTGTCTTATTAGTCTCCACTGAAGAAGCACTGGAAATTGCTGGAAATGACAACCTGTCTGTCGCGCCACCTCAATTTATCGGAGGAAATGAGTTTAGTCGTGTGAAGAGAGTTGGTATATTTTCCTTTCAACAGAGATATACATACAAATTAAACCTTAAGGGAGTTTATATTCTTTTTGTTTTTTTGTCGATATTGGCTACTTCACCAAAGAAAGTCTGACTTCTAAGTCTGACTTAAAATAAAAAGTGAGAAATAATTTACGGGGAGAAATTTTGAAGAGCAATTCTCAAGCTTTCTTATTCTAACCACTGGTGGTGCTTTTTCTGCCTCTAATGATACTGGGGAATTATGTATTTATTTATTTTCTGACTCAATTGGCAAATTAGTGGAGGGACTTAAAAACACTGCAGTTATGTACATGCACTGAGACTCCTGAGAAGTAAAGCAGGAATCAGAGGGAGAATATTAAAGTTACAAGCAGCCCTGCAGAGACCAGAGTGAACCAGCTGAACCAAATAACAGTGTGTATGTTTTCAAAATTAAACTGAAGAACAGGCTGTAGTGCTACCTCGTTGTACAGTGTGGTTTTGGATGATAAATAGGCTAAAAATCCAATAAGGATTGCATTTTACTCTGTGTATATTACATTTAACTAACCAGTGACGGTCTGTACTGCTGTATCTTAATGTTGATCAGACTGGTGGAACTTAGAGAGGGAGGTATTTTTAAAGTGTGGAAAATGTAAAATAAAAAAGAAGAAAGTATTTTAAAGATTAGACACAACATTCTAGACTGAAAAACAAATTCAATTTGTCACATTTTGAAAATGCAGCATATAACGACGGACTGACATAAAATATGGACAAACCTGCAAGAATGGCACTTGCTGTAAAAAAGACAAAGTTGATAGGAACCACCTCTGTGGCGTCAAACATTTTCATTGCCTGATTGAGAAATCTATAAAGAGAGAAGACGTGAAGGGCTGGTAATTGCAGTGACCTTGGTTACACATGAAGACACAAAGCAGACTGTTCATCTATGAAATAATATAATTGCTATTGTTTGAACTTTTTCTATACACTGCTTAGGTTTTGTCAGTAACCACAAAGCAAAGATGGAGAGTGAGGGAATTCAGTTCTTAAAAAGAGTGAAGGTTGATAGAAAACGTTGACTAACTTAATCTGGAAAGCACAGGAGGCGACCATGACGACAAGCATCACATAGAAGATTGGGTAGATGAGCTGCAGTTGGCTGGTTATTGACTCAGTGATCATCCCTGATACAGCTTTGACTGAGATGACAGTCAAGGAGGCTGCAGACACACAGACAGAGCACAAAAATGTAATACTCTTATACTTATTTGCCCCTATGGAATATGCTTTAAATACATTTAGAGTAATTAAAACAATTATCAAAAAATACGAGTATGATTTGGTTTATTTAAAGCTACTTCCATTTTATTCCATTCTTTTATAATTTTTAGATATTTTAAACCTATTGACTTAACGTTACACGAAATTATATTTATATATTTATTTTTAGACAGTCTTACATTTGAGAACGATTTTCAAAAACTTAAGAATGTCTTACATTTTTTTAGTCTTACATTTCAGAACGATTTTCAAAAACTTAAGAATGTCCTTTTGCTGTTTTTGGCTAAACCGTTAGCTTTACCATTACTTTGGTGACTTTTTAAGTTATATATTTTTATATCTATTCGTAATAAATGTTTTGTCAATTTGTAAGTAATTTGTGGTTTTAAATTGCCGTTACAATTTTCCCCAATTAATCTGACCAGCAGGTGGCAACGTAGCGCCGTTCACGTAACAGGAAAGGGGCGTAACAGACGCCAAATATCGGCTGCAAGTCCGCCACGTTGGATTTACTGCGCAGAAATGTTTGGACAAAGACACATGGTATGTCAAGTTTCCAATAACAATTTTGACACATTGATGTTAAGTGTGTGTACATACTGTGTATGTTTAATTGATTTTAAATAAGTGCTCATTTTAAATGGTATTTATTGAAACTCATTTAAATACAGTGAGAAATATCAGATGCATTGGTGACATTTTAACCTGAGTTTCTGTTCACTGTTTGCGAACCTGATTTGAACCTAAATGTAATTGTAAACACTTTATCCTTGCTGCTCTATGTTGATTTGTGGAGGAGGTTAATTATCTCTCACTGAATTATTTTGTACCATGCTCGACTTATTTTTCACAGAAATGTTAGCAGAGCAGGGGTGCATTTCTGTAGCCAGGCAACTAAATAAACTCAGCGTCAGCCTGAATATGGTTCCATCCATAGCACCTGCCCTCGAGCAGGCAGCCTCCACTTGTTCATACCCAGTAGGGCCACCAGCAACATCACAACCACAATGTGCTTGACATTCCTCCTCTTGTAGAGGTAGAGCAGGATGCAAAAGACCACGATCTCTATAAACTGTAGAGAAAAAAGAGTGGTTAAAAATGTTAATATTGATTCTATTTGACTGGGGAAAAAAAGGAAACCTGTGGTCAAAATAACTAGCTTTAATGTGTCTTTAAAGAGAACATATATTTAATGATATTAAAGTATCATTACCGGTAAGTAAAAAATAAAAATAAGGAAAGCCAGCAACTGTAGATATCGACTATTTTTCATTAATGAGTAAAAAAAAAATTAAGATTGGAATATTTTAGGCTGTATTCATTTGGTTCCTCACAGTTTATCAAACAGAAAAATGTAACATTGTCTGTGAGAAAACTTTCTTGGGGTAAATAAATCTTTTGAGAAATATGTTCACTCCCCATCATTTACATACCTTATGGGGCTGTTCACTCAGAGGTCGACTCCCTAAACGTCTGACTCCAAACCATTTGACAATACTAAGCCTCAGAGAACAGTAAGACGACAGTGATGAATATTTCCCTTTTGTCTGATTAATCACAACTGTATAGTCTGTCCCAAGTCTAATGTAAAGCCCTTCCCCTGCAGACTGATGAGTATTCACAATGCATTGCCACAAGTGGACACAGCATAGCCCTTTTCTACGCTATCAATCAGTGTAGCTCGCGGCAGCAGCAGCGGCAGCAGCAGGACTTTCTCAGTTTGAAAACGTGTCTGTCTCTGCTCCAGTTTCATTTTCTTTTGTTTTTCCTTTCGGTTGTTGTTGTTGAGTGGTTTTTATCAGCTCAGTAAATAGGTTTAAATTTGGGAGTAGGAAGGTGAATTATTGCTATAGAGTGGTGCCCTGCTCTGAATAATAACCAGGACACACTGATGAGCTGCTAGCTTTTATCCATGTAGTTTTATCTCAGTATTTTGGAATTATGTGGAAATAAATGGTTGTTTCAAAACAGTTTGTGTTTCATCTATAAGGAAACTTTATAGTTTAGACCCGGGTGAAGCTGCAATCGTTTGATTGTGGGGTGTTTTGTGTGTATATAAGGCTGGTGTTTAACTAAACAGACCCAGGGTTCACAATAGGACAGTAAATTGTTGGTTTGGTGTCACACCATGGGACTTCTCTAATGTAAAATATGTGCCAGTGTGTTGTACAATTATATAACATCCTTTAAAATTATGTTTTTTAAATTAATTTACCTTTCGATTTTATAAATCCTACGTTTACTTTGGCTTTGCATTTTTTAGGCTATTTTAACACTATATATATATATATATATATATATATATATATATAAAACACAATACAACTATAGGCTGTGGTTATTTCACTTCACAGCATTGCACTGTCACACAGTTTTAACATTGACTTTAGTGGTCACTGAATCAAGCTAAAAGATAAACCTCTCTTGCTCGACAATGTGAGACCTGCTAAAGAGAGTGTCTGATTTCTGGCTTTTGTTGTGTCAGTAAAATTGAGGTGTCAGGAAAAGAGAAAGGAGCTGAAAAGCAAGGGTGCAAGAGCAAAACACTGTAACACATTGTTGTGGATAAAATAGTAAATTCAGTTAAACACCAAAAAAAGAACCTCTGCCAGACTAATAAGTGACTGGGCCCTGGCTTTTCCTTCCTGGATAAACAGAGCTCAAGTTTCATTTTCCTAAGCAGCTGAAACAGCACATACTTGTGGCTTTAAAATATTTAGACACTTTAAACCATATTAGAATGAAATGGGAAATAAAGTATACAGTAGATAGACTCAGAAAGGATACTTACAATGTAGATCAGGAAGTGCCAGCTGACAACATAATACTGGACCAGATGGGCTGTGATGTGTGTGGATGTGTGAGGTGCAAAGGTCACCAGGAGGTACGTCCCTGTTATTGCCAGGGTGCCACCTGTGGAGAGAGTTAGAAAAAGGAGGGACACTTGTATAACAAATATTAAAAAGGCAGTGAAAACCGACCTCACGAGAATGTACAGGTTGCTTTCTGAACATGTAGTGTTAGACAGAGGGAAAGCATGTTATTTTGGGTTATACTGTATTTGGACCTTTTACATGTATTAAAATACTATGTAGAAGTGATTTACAGACCCTGTGCAGCAGAAAAACCAGCAGCGTTCTTAGTGATTTATCACATTATAAATGAAAAGATTTTAATATGTGGCAAGGGTTGTCATTTAGCCATTGCAAGACAATAAGAGAACTGGCAGAGATATGCAGATGACTTATCCAGGAAATCTGTGTGTAGCTGATATAAATTTGTGGTCGAGCAGTTTTAATTATCATCATCAGTGTACTGCACATATTGCAATCATCCCCACAATAGCTTTTCATAAACGGAGGTAATGAGATACAGTCAGTCTTCAGAAAAGATTATGCCTTTTCTCTGCATAAAAGATGCAGACTTTTCTCTGCCAAATTAAAATATGTTTCCTTTGACTAACTGTTTCTCTCCGAGTATCTCTTAAGTTGTGTCATTTGCGAATTTCGAGGTAATTCTTTGTAGGAAAAATCAGATAAGTGTAAAGATTGTTAAGCTTCTCAAAAGGCAAGATTCCTCACCAAAAATGTCTGAAGGTCGCAGAGTTTCCTTCAGGAATACCACCGATATGATGGCACTGGCTGGAAAATAAAAGAGGAAATCATTTGAACTACTGTGAAACACACAGATTACAGCCCCTACAGATTATATAAAATAATCCAAAAAGTAAGAAGAAACTCTGTAATTTATATTGCAGAATAACATTTTCAATAAAGCGACAATAAACCTAATTATCAGATGTAACACTGTAGCCTGAAGACGTCTAACTGAATTTCTGTAGGTGAAATGCTTACTAAGAACATCGCACATATTGCGTCTTGATATGCAGTGATATACAGTTACACTGTGCACTGAGTCATTCGTATTCACACTTACAGGAAACTTAATCAGGAAACAAAGACCTGCAGTAAAGTCAACAACAATGCAATAACAAGTAACTGTCAGTTAACTGTCAGCTAAGGCCAAAGATAACTGTATAAATGTTCTTACTTAAACAAGGAAATACTAGATAGGGGTTAGTTTAAAATAATTAACAAATTAAACAAGATTAATGCCAGTTAAGTTAAAAAAAGCATATCTTTAGTGAGAGTCTAGAAATACATAAATATAAATACCAAGATGCCCTGAAATACTGCAAATCCAGTGAATTGTTACGTACAGTATTGATAAAATAACCATGGAAATTCAAGATTCCTCTGCAGAGAATAAAAAGGAAAAGAAATTACCATCTTTTGGAGTGAAAATATTAAAATGTTGGCCCACATAAGCCAGGCTTTATATAGTTCTATCAATATACATCTACTATCAATCGTATATATCACCTAAATGCATTTACACAGTGATAGATATGTGGGGTTTATGCCGTGATGTGAAGATTAGCTTAGATTCTGTCACCTAGCTCAGAAAAATGAAGATGGTTAGGGTCTTATAACCCCGGCATCAAATTACAATACAACGCTATTCCATGCAGTTTTTCCACCAACCTATTCATCACTATCAATGTCAAAAGCTGAGGCGGTGTAAAGCAATCAGCATCACACGAGCTAAGCTCCAGATTAGTCTTTTTAATGTGCCGTGGGAAAGTGAGCCAAAGATGAGGGTGACAAATAAGCTGACAGCACATGAAAATAGATGGATAGAGTCACAGGCGGATCTGTATGATGATAAACAGGCCGACACAGATGGATGACGGCCACCCAGAAAAAAATGACTGCCGTGAGACAGAAAAACAAACAAGGAGAGGACAGATTGACCAGGAGACAAAACAAGTTTGCAGTGACTGCCCGCATGCCAGAAAGTGAAAAAGTGTTACCATTACGTTAAATGTTTTAACACTTAGCAGCCTTCTGGGCAGCATGCTAAACATCATTCTTAGATTGCTGGCCTGGCCATTCACAACTATCAAACAGGATCTGCAGAAACAAAGACAAACTGAGGGGTGTCTTAACTCTAAGGTGAGCAGATTCTATGCCAAATAGATTCTCAAAGGACTAAAAATTCCTTCATTAAGTATCAACATTTTGGGAGTAATTAAAACAAGTTGGACAGTAAACTTGACTAATAATCAGCAAGATTGATAGACATTTACTTAAGTTTAACTAAAAACAGTTAAAATTGGACTCAAACAAATAACTTAGTTGGGGTGTACAATTTGTATGTAATTTAAACAGGTTAGGAAATTAATAAATAGCAAAGACAAAACAAATATGAACCTAAAAAACTTTGGAATTGGAAAAAAAAATTGGATCAAATGTCAAACAGGATTGTTAGCATGTTAGGATTAAAGCTAAAGGTTAGCCTGTAAATAGTTTGAAGATATGCCTTGGGAAAAAAATCCTGTTTTTTTTTTTTACATTATTGTAAATATTGTTTTGCAATATGCCAAATATATATTTTTGAATGGATAAAACATAAGGATGTAAAACATTTTGGTCATATATTGGTTTGAAAAGGAAAGGCAGATAGTCCTGGGCTCGATTCCCAGAGGAACCACATATCCCTAAAGACTCATCCTGGTGGCAGCCTGTGTCACTTGCAAAGACTCACACTAAATTTCCCCATAGTGGGATGAAGTAGGGAATTATCATTATTATCTTTATTAAAAGATATAGTTGTGTAAATAATGCAAAACACATAAAACATTAAACAATACAGAAGAAATTGTTGTTTAACTAATTATTAATGTAAGCTAAAAATCTGTACCCATACAAATGATAATTTGCTTTATACACATTTATTTATGGAGGAAAAATCTATACACTGTAATGTATCTTGTTTGTTTCTGAAGAATAATTAATGTATTTTAAACACTTTTTGCATATGTTACAGTGAGTTTCTGTCTTTCCAAATCTTTGCCTTCTGTCAGGTGTCAGTCATGTTTGAAATCATTTCATTCATTCATCTCGTTCACAGCATTTTTTCCCCCTCTTCTTCAACTCACTCACTGTTTATATAATCAAGGTCTCCCGCTGTCTGCCCACCTCACCCCAAAAGGATGCACCAATGGAAAACTGGCAAAACTGCGTCACAGGAAGTGTGTGTGTGTATGTGCATCAGCCTGTCTTTTTTACACACCACTGCAGCCATGCATGCATGTTTGTGAATGTGTTCTTTTTTCTGTACAGCGAGTCACTGTGAGGTGAGAGGTGGAGTCATAATGGCAGACAGCAAGCTGCTCACATTGCCCTCTCAGCTCCTCTTATTAGCTGTGAGCATGACAGTCCATGTCACAGCTGCAGACATCTTCTTCTGCTTTACCTTCCTCTCACCTATTCATCTCTGGCTTCATTAATTCCTGCAAGGCTTTCCTACTACACACACACACACACACACACACTTAAGCTACATATTTTTATTGGCTACCCAGACTTAACACAAGCCTCATGCAGTTGGACATTTTCACGAGAGAAATAACAATAGTAAAATGGAAATGAGCACAGTAATTGTTAGGACCTGTTAGTAATGTCAATAGGTGAGCCCTAGACACGGTTACAGAGTACTCCAAGGATACTGCTATAGAAAGTACTGACGTAATAATGCGTTTTATTTAAATCCACTGCCTGGTATAACAAGTGCGACAACACGCAAAAACACAATGAACAACATCTGTGGTTTCGTCGCCTGCTTTATTCAAACAATTCATCCACTTATGAGATGTGACAGTGGGGAAATCATTTCAAGTGTTGGAGTAAGAGCTGCCATTAATATCCATGACTCAGCACCAGCTCCAGCACAGTGAGTGATGAGTGGCAGGGGGTTAAAAAAAAAGAACCTCTTCAATATTTAACCTGTGCTTAAAGTGTTTACCCTGAGCACCTGCCAGTTGTGGCAACCAGACTTTGTTTTGATTGGCTAATGAATCCTGCTCACTTCATGACAAATGTAAAACTGCCAGTTGAACTGGTCCCAAAACAAATTCACCCAAAAGAGCAGAAATGACTGTAAATAACCTTTGACGTTTGTGTTCTTTAAAAAACAAACTTAAACGCCTGCAGACTGCGCTGCTGTGCTGGTTATACGATTCTCACCAAAACAGTCGTAAATTTCTCTGCAAGTTAAAGACCGAGAAAATAAAAGCAGTTCTGTTCCTTCTTTCAGTAGTGTGATTGGGTTGTATCACTTGAAATGTAGAAGTGGCATGTCTCCTAAAGATGTAAAATGTTGTAAAATTTAAAACATAATATGGTGCTCTAAATGTTGATTTAGAGCACCATATTATCTTTGCTAATATATGTTCATCTTTAAACAAGCAACAATTAAAAAAAAAAACAATCAACAACCACGAAAATCCTCTCTGTCTTTTAGGAGAAAACATGCCACATATCTGAATCTTTGTTTAGAAATGTCAAGTATGGTTAATGACCCTGCCACTGTATTAGTTTCCCCTGGGACAATAATCTACTATTGGGTAAAAAAATGTAAAGTTATAAAATGTAAGTCAAAAGGCCAATGTTTGAGAGGATGTGAAGAAGTAAAAGCAGGATTTTTAGAGCAACACTCCTGCCTGCTATTCTCCAAAGACTGTATCTTTCCCTCCTGGCATGGATATTGTGTAAAGTGCTTAGCACGTACCTATGACAGATACACTGCCCAGTGGAGCGATGAGCGATGCAGGGGCGAAGCCATAGGCAGCAAAGTTTCCCAGTTCCCCAACACCCATGAGTACCACACCGGACCACCACACTGGGGAGGAGTAGTAGGGCTTGGTGTCACGCTGAGACTGACGCATGTGAGCATATTTCTGTGGTGAAAAGAATGGAAATGTTAAAATGTTACTATGGGATGGCTTTCAGTCAGTCAGACCCACCCAAACAGAAAGATGGCAATAATTTAAACAGACTAAGCCATAAATGGCCTCACAGTGACAGTAATACTCGTCATCAAAAATAGTGAATGATAAACAGAAGTGGAGGCATGACAGAACCTTGAGAAACACCACTGGTGACATGAGATAGGTTGAATTGATATGTTAATATGAAATTAACGTCTGTGACCGCAGAGATAAGATGTGAACCAGTCGACAACAGTGTCTTTGTTATCAACGGAAGCTGGACAGTGGAGAAGCATTTGATGACAGATTGTGTGGAAAGCTGGTGTTACATCAAGGAGAATGAGAATAGAAAGCAACCACAAGTCTGCTGCCATATGGAGATAATTAGTGACTTTCAGAAAGGCTGTTTCAGTGCTATGCAGAGAGTAAAAATGGAAGATTCAAATGTTTAATAGAGATTATTGTCAGCAAGATGATTGTCCTTGTGAAGAGAGTCTATTTTTCAAGGATTATGCGACAGATATGGGATTTTAGAAATTGGTGTGAAAGGCATCAAGCTTGTTTTTTTGAGTACTAATAGCAAACTTATACAGAGTTGGAACAGAACCAGCGGTGAGGGAGGAGTGTATGATATATACAGGATATGCAAGATGCAGCTTATTTCCATGAAAAACTTGAAATATGTTATTTTATTGGTTATTGAAATTTCATCTGACTTTCTTCTCGTCCAACAATATTTGCTTAAAAAACTGTATCAGATACAGTTTAATAATGTTTTTCTCACAGTTACTTGTGCCCTTAAAGGCATCGTTCTATATCAACAGACTCCACATTTGTCTGAGTCTTCCTGAATACCTGAGGGTGTAAGAGAATGTCAACAATTATAGATGTTAACTGAAGTGAAAGGTAATGATGTTAAAATATTATAAATATAATATGTTTTCCTTTGTTTAACATTGCAAATGTATTACATGGTTTAGATAATGGTTGAAAGTAGTAGTAAATTCAGTTTCTACAAATATATCTTACCTTCTTGAGTGTACACATTCCATACTTAAATAATGCAGATGGTTACCTGAATGTCTTAAATCAAGGGCCTAAGTTATTATTATTTTTTAATGGATTTGAGAAAGTATTGTTAAATGACTGTTTTGAGTTAGTCTGTTTTTAAAGAATGCCTAGTAGACCTATAATAATAAAAATGATAATAATAATAATAATCATTGGTTGAAGAATTAGGAGTGAAATGTCAAGGTCTAATATTACTAACTAAAGACTTTATTGGGATGAAAATTTGAAGGTCTCTCTGAATTATCTAGTCTGTCAAAACTCAGTGTAGCATCACTGAGTATGTGTGAAAAATGAGTTTTACATGTTCCTGTCGTTAGCTAAGCATCTGTTGTTGAGTTGGATCCCAGTGTTTTATACCTGTATGTTGAGTGAAATGCTGATGAGGACATTCCCACATATGGAGATGATGATTCCCAGGAGATAAGTCTGTCAACAGAAACGGTAAACAGACAGAACATTAGGCGACGCTCGACTTGTCACACAACAATTATAAACACCCCATAATACCCTGTGCAGGTTTTCCCTCCAGCTGTCAGCTGTCAGCTTTTACAAACCACAGAGACATACGTTGACTCTGTTCAGAGGCATCGGCCTGTGTACCATTCAGGATGTTAGCAGGGTTTTACAGCGCTATATGTGAAGAAGTTATAAGCTAAACTCTCACACATACACACATGCAGGTAAGAGCAACAAAAAGATAGTGGTGCATAAACAACAAACTCAGCATGTTAAGCAGCAGGGTGCAGGTTGTTTGAAACATGTTCTTTACAGAAACAAACATCCCAAACCCTTAACATACTTGGTTTGGTAATTTAACAGCAGTGTTAGTCAAACATTTGTGTTGAAGTCTGGTTTGCAAGCAGACATTGTGACCATGGCTGTTGACATACTTGCTGTATATCACAAATGCAACACCATAAAGTGCAATGGAAATGGTGCAGATCTGCCTGTTGTAAACAGTTGCTAGGATGGTGGTTGGTTTGAGCTGGTCTTTCCTATTATTTCAGTAGAAATAAAAAAAGGCTGAAACCTTATTTAAAAATATCTCTTGTAAACCAACTCTGTTTGATGTGATTCCCATTTCCTACAGAGAGCATTAGAAAATGGGAATCTTGGGGCTATAACTCGATTTTTAAATTAACTCCCTTCTAAATAAAGTTTGAGCTAAATATGTAAGAAAAAAGCTCTGTGTTAATTTGGATAAATTACTGCGACTGGTATCGTCATTAAAATCCTGAGATGACCTGATGCCTCCCCAAATGCCCATATATTAATATATCTTGCAAACACAAACCTCAACCCCTGTTCTACAGCCAGGAAGATATATGTTGCATCTGAATCTGCTAACCTATAAAATAGTCTTAAGCTGATAATGAAGGAATGATTTGTTCAGCCACATAAAAAAACATCTTAGGGGTAACTTTATGATAACTGGTGTGATGTATGACCGGGAGGTTGTGCTACTCTACTTAGAATTTAATCTTTTTTTAAACCTATATTTCACAAATATGCCAGTGGTTGTAGGTAGACAAAGTTTTACAAAGAAATACCATGGGGGTGTGATGTGAATTATGAAGTCCTCAGGACTGTAATTTACTGGGGAAAAAAGAGAGAGAAAAAAGCCTAGATCATCCTAGTGTTTATATCTGAACAGAAAATCATGGAAAGAGATGGAGGATGGTAAAAAATGTTAGAGAGGCACAGTGATGGAAACTGAAATGAGGATGAAAGCATAAGGTGTGAACTGGAGGAGGTGAGCAAAGGAGTACAGCATAGTACATTTCAGAGAACATGGAATAATGCAGTAGAAACAAAGGTGAAGAGAGAAAGCTCAGTGTGCTCTGGTTAGGTTTCCTGCTTTGAGCTATTCTGTGACATAAAGCTATTCTGTAAACAACTCCCAGGGTACTGGTGTTGACAATGACAATACACAGCACTGAGATCAAATGATAGCATAATGAATAAATATTTTTAAAATATTTTCTCTAAACAAAGCAGCTGATCATTATCACAAAATCCAGGGGTCGTCTGACACGTACTTAAAGAGGTGGAGCACTGAGACAGAATCTCTAACAGCAATTTTTCAAGTGGTCAGTTTTTGAGGATTTAATATGCCTGAACTGAGCAACTCAAAAAATAATCACAAAGTAGTTTAAATTAAGCTTTGAAGTTGTTAAATTAATCAGTAGACAATGGAAGAAGACATGTGACTTGATTTGCAACCACATGCAGTAAAATGTAAATAACAAAGGTATAGCAGTGTGTAGGTACAAGGAATGGTGTAAAAGAGAAGCAGAGAGGCAGGAGGGGCTACAGTGAGCGATGTCTGAAGCTCTGTAGTACTTCATGATCAAACAGATGGCCAGGTGTGATCTGTTCTCCTAACCAGGATCAATGGGCATGTCAAGCTTTAAAGTACAGTGAGCGAATCCCCTGCTGCCCTGCTGTTACTGAGCTCGTGAGGAGGCTGTTGGTTAATATGAATACGGCCAGGGGGCAGAGTAGGGAGTGTGTGAGTGCATGTCTGAGAAACAGAAACTGTAGAGCCTACACAGACTGATAGTTGATAATTCCACTCACCACAAATAGTGGATTAAGCCATTTTGAAGCCACTGAGTCTGGTCTAGGGATACATATATAATGTAATGATTTGGTTTATTTCCTTTAGTCAAATACTATGCTGTGCAGGCATAGCTAGCCTATTGAGAGATTAAGCAAAAGGAAGCAGGAGAAAGTGAGTGAAGGAGTTTTCCTGTGACAGGAAAAGCAAACAAAGCAGTGGAACTGGGTGAGGTGGATACAGTGGGAGTGTCACTGGATTGTGAGCAAACATTACACTCTGACTGAAGTAAAACAGGACCAAGACACGACATCCTCCATTATTCACTGTTCTAGGCACAATACTACAATGTAATTGTAAGTTAACGGTTCTGGTTTCACATATTGAAAACAATTTGTACGGTTCTGGTTTCACATATTGAAAACACATATGAAACGAAGCATTACAGCTGTATATATATTTTTTATTAGGGCTACATATTCAACCAAGCCTTTGCCTGGGTGATAGTGTTGAGGTTGGATTAGAATTTGTTGTGGATTAGGTTTGTTGTTCCGGATTACTTTGTGGTGGCTCCACATGGTTAACCATACTGTTGTTAGGTATTTCAAATATCAAGCTTCGATGGCTCACTGTAAAGTACTTCCAGGCCGTTAGCTCCGGCTTGTGAGTGTGAGCTTCCTCTCCTGATCTCAGACACAGATTGCATGTGCCAAGGGTCCACCAGCCAAACTGCCAATATGTGACCCGTGGCCAGTCAGCGGTCAGGGCTGATTGTGTCTGATTCTGATCATTAGCCAGTTCAATGTTTCATCACTAGTCCTCACTGATTGATGAATTTACTGAATTTAAAATATGTCTTTTTGAAAAAATGAAATGGGCTTCAGGGCTCAGACTGACAGCACCGATACTCTGCCTCCTCACAGTACGACACTGACCAGCAGACAGACAGTGTGGACTTTTGTGTTGACTGACAATGAGGATCTCTCATTTGGTATGGTCTGATCTCTGGATAAAACCCTTCACTTGCTGCCTAGGAGTGGTGGGTACTGATGAAAGAGAGAGACCAGGATGAACAGAGTGATGGAGAATATGTGCACATTTAGGTTAGTCTCATTTTTGGGAGGTTTAGCTGTAAGGTGATTTTTTACCATGACAGTTTTTATCATCTAAAACATTTGAAAAATAATTCTGATCAAGGGGCAAACCCTTAACTACAAATTATTATGGGCTATGAAGCTATTTAATGAAGAGTATTCAGGGAATCTTCAGTGAGAAGAGCATACTGTGCTCGCAATTACATTATTAATATAATGGTTTATTTTCCTGCAGCAAAAATGTACTTAGCAAATTACATGGCCCAATGCCCATTAGTCTTTCATTTCTTCTCAACAAGAAGTACATTTTGGCCTGGTGAAAGCAGGCAGAGTCACATGACTCATTCACTTTTGTCTATTGGGCTTGTTGAATAACCAATGCCACTGCTGTAGAAATCTAGTCAGTAGATAACCTACTAGGACTTTTCATTTGACTAAAATGACCTTCCTCCTCACCCTCTGTGCAAAGGAAAACAATTGTCTAACTCTATAACAGAAGTAGCCAAGTCTGTTGCAGAAGTATCTCTGCTCAATTGTTATTTTTAGCTGTGTACAGCTCTCCATCACCCACTTCTCTCACCTCTTTTAGAAACGAGTAGATCTACACACAACAGGGAGCTTAAAAACAGTTTAAGAAAGGTACAATGCAATTTTCCATCCTTAAATATTTTAAATGTTTTGCAGATCAACATAATGTCACATGATATTTGTGTCACTTACTGCAGGTTTTATGCACATCAGCCAAAAACAACAAGGGTTTGCTGTCATGTAATGTCATTCAAGTCAAGGTAGCAAATGCAAATATGCAAATATTTGAGGTTGAAAACTACATCGCAAAAGTGTAAAAAGTGGGAAAACAACCACTATTTTTGGCTATTATTTTGCAAGACAAATCAGTTAATCATTTGTTTTACTATGGTGCTCATCCAGCCTAGGGAAGCCGAGTTGTTAAAAATGCAAGCAACCATGAATGACAAGGTTAAATTATTTTAACCTCCTAACAACAGTTATCTTCCACTGAAGTTAAATTTGACAAAGAATCAAGGGCATCAGCTACAAACACAACTGTGATTATACTGTATAAATCCTATATAATCATATATAATAATCTTATAACACAATTCAAAATTCAAAAAGAACAAAGTTCATACATCACTGAAGCTGGAGAAGTTTTCTTTAGAAAGTATTTGTCCCTGTTATGCCAGCCCAGGTGTTTAATGCAAACTATACACTAGAACTTTCTTTTACTTCTAATAATCTTTGTACAGCCAATTAGAATAGCGCTGAACAAAGCCAGCAAGTTTAACTCTGGAGAGCAATTAGGTGTAAAACAGACACATATTGTCCCGTTGGATGTTGGGACGTTATCTGGGATGATGGGTAGCTTTGGACAGAGTGGGAGCTGGAACCATCAGCCAGCTGTTCAGGACTCTTACAGTAGATCTATTCTCTCACAGCCCACCCATGAGCCATTAGTCATTACCCACGCCTCTCATTCCTCCGTTTTCTTGCTCTCTCTGTCTCTGTGCCCCAGTGTCACAAAGACAAACTATGGTCTAAAGAGAGAGGGAAACACAGTGACAGGGAAAGATGAGCATGAGGAGAATGTGTCTCTGCAAATGAGTAGGAGGTTAGATGACTGACACTCACACTCTTGCAAGAGGCAAGAGTCAAAAAGTAGAAAATGTCCACTGCCATACGCACCAACGGACACACAGTGTCTCCACATTTACGTACAGATTTCAAGGGTGCGATGTACAGGGTTAAACATTTCCTAATAAAAGCCAGTATGACAGAGTGATTTAGATGCATTCACTTTAGAAAATAGTTGTGACAGGGTGCCAACAACCATACATCTCTGGGTTGCCTGGCTCCCACATCCACACATTGAGTGCTCATTACCCAAAAAGCATTAGAGTTGGAAGATACATTTTGTATTCTGAGATGTTTTTAGAGACTAACTCAATCTCGCCTTGGGTATTAGTGAGTAACATCCTGTTCCAGATAAGTGGAAAAAGAAGTTCCTAACAGCTTAATTAGACAAAAGGAGAGAAAAAACAAAGCTTCACTTCTGTACAGTTCAACTGATTACAACAACAGATTACAGCAAGAAAACATACTTTACTTTAATCAATTATTTCTTTTGCTATAACAACCCAAAGTTACCCATGGACCTACATGTGATGAAGTGTTGTGTGTAACAGGTGAGATCGTCTGTTGCTGCACATAGCCTACCAGCTTAAAGGTTCCACAAGTTATGCATTCATTAGTGGTCACTTCTATAAGCCTTTTTTGTACTAAGTAGTTTTTAAGACACTTCTGCATTCCTGGTGTTCACTAGTTACTCTGTCTTGATTGATTGTTCTCTGCAACCCTTTAAGTGGTTGGAGGGGGAAAATCCTGGTACATCATTGGTTACTGAAATACTAAGACTAAACTGTGTGAGACCAACAACCATTCCTTAAATGTTTAGCTTTCTTGGCATTTTAGTGCTTTGTTGTCTCTTAGTTACAATTAGTGTATAAGTCATCCATTCTGTTCAGTATTTGATGATTATTTGTAATACAATAATTAATATTAGTTTAGTTTAGTAATTTGTCTTCAATAACACATGGCCTATAGAGCACTGTCAGTAAAGCAAACAAAAATTGAGTACTCAAATATCAAGCTTGTGGCATAAGATCAGGTTTTAATTGATGTTTAACTTATTAAAAGATTAATTGTCCTGGGTAATCAATAGCTGGATTTGGAGTCCTATTTTAGACAAAATTAAATTATTTTGTGGTACATTTAAAATGATGCATTTAAATGTTTTACTGTTTTGTCTTTCAACCAATGGTTTACGAGGTTTAACGACGTTTGTGACGTTGAGTCACAATAGTAATCATTTAGAATGAAGTCTGCACATAACCTGAATACGTTCCGTATATTCCGCTTATAGGTATATAAATATCTGATATAATGTTAACACTTACATACCACTTAGCAAAATATTTTATTATATAAAACAAACAAACAAACAATTTACATGGTTTTGGCACATCATTTTGCATCAAACTTGACCATAATCCATAGGCTGTGTGAACGTTTCTTCCTCTCGTGTTTTTAAACTTTCATGTGACCCAAAACTTAAACAAACTTACCTGGAGAGGGTTTTCCAGGATCTCCGCCTTGTGAGCAGAAGGGAACCAGACAGACCAGGTGGAATTCTCCATATTTTTTTATTATCGTTAAATATAATAATCTAACTGGAAATTAATTTTAAAAACCCCCAACACTTTTACATTTTTCCACTCTTCCCCCAGTTCATCCCATTACCAGTTCATCGTTCCTATCGCTGCAGAGGAACTAAACAGGAAAAAGTTGTGACAGCACGCACTGCTGATCGGCAGTTAGTGATGACTTCAGAGCCCTCGGAAAATTTAATGTCGGTGTCAGACGAGCTTGTAAACGCCATCAGTAATCAAGGATTGCCCTTATGTTAATTAAACACTACCTGTTTTTTCATAAGTTCCATGTACTGTCAAACGTAGCGGTTAATTCAAAATGACGAATTGCTCCATTAATATTGTTATTTTCATCTCCAAGTTGTAAGGTTTCTGGCGAACGATATAACGATGAGTACGTAAACTTAACATTAGATAAAGTGTAAGTAGTTCAATTACGCTGGAAACATTGCGTTGTGTTCGAAGCTAAACGAGCATACGGGTATAAAGACGTTTTCAAATATTTGCTATATTGTAATTGAGAAATTTGTGCTGGTGTAAAACGTATTTTTAGATTTACACATAGGAAAAGCTCATAACAAGAATGTTGTTATGGTAAGGAGAACAACATTATTAGTCATTATTTAGTAACACATGTATTCAGGGTTTCGCATGTTTATTGAAATGTGTTACTTAAAAATGCTTTACTACTGCTTTTTTGTAGCCTTACAACCAAATGTATTCATATTTTTCAACATTTGCATTTTCCTCGAAATGGATATGACCCTGACGGTATATTTATCTATATTTTATACATTTGTTTGTATCTCATAATACATATCCACTGTATCCCAAATGAGTGAAATTAATTATATTTTATCATATTAAGTCGCCTTTTTCCACATGGTTATACAAAGCTTTTTTCCAATAAGTTTCCTTTTCTGTCTCTGTCTGTAATATTTTATTAGAGAAATAAATTATTAGCAGAAGTAGGTTTTCATAGGAATCTACTAAACAAATTAGTATTGAAGATTCATATCAATGATGTTTAAAACTTGAACACACATTTATACACTGACAAGCTAGTGAACCCTTTTCATTTAAATAGTTGTCGTGGTCAATTACTTTACTTTTACGTTTTAGTATAGTTAGCTAGTGAACCTTTTTCATTTAAATAGTTGTTGTGGTCAATTACTTTACTTTTACGTTTTAATTTTAATAGTTAATTTTATTTTCCTTTATTTTAGGCATATGTTATAGTTCTATACAGATGTACAGTCGGTGCTGCACCCAAAATTATGCTAGATTGATGAGTATACAGCAGTAAATGTCTATTATTAGGCAAATGAATGTGATGCAAAGATCAATGTTGAGAAAAGAATGTACTGTGCAAAAGAAATTGGATTTCACAATTAATATGGTGTGTACATAAGTAACCAACTCAAGACTTCCAAGCTTAGACTCTAGGAGCTGTATTAAATAAAAGCTGCCACCTGGTGGTCTTTTGTATAATATCACAGGGTCAGGTAATCTCCCTAGTTGGTTAAAAATCATATCCGATTAAAAAAGGCCCACGATGGTCCAGCTGTTGTTTCCATCTACATACAACAGATGTTCAATGGGTTAGGGCTTTTGGAAACCGTTTTGTTTTGTTCTTTCCCGTCAACTTGTCATATGTCAATATTTTTCATTTCTTTTTAAATTACTTACTTTGCTTTGTTTTTTATTTTTTTAAAGTGATGACAATGGATTTGCAGCAGCTGTTAAACACAATTTAATGCCCACAATATATTGACAAGCCATGTCTTCTATTTTTAAGTTATTTCATTTTTAAAAAATTATTTTGCAGGTGTGATCAGTATGGAACATTGGACATTGGAAATATCATCTGTTCGACATGGTTCACAGGTCTGCTACTCTACACGCTGATGTTTTCCTGCGCAAGAGACACAACCCGTAACGTGAGTACAAAGAAAAGTTGTGGGGAAGAAATGCTGCAAAAATGTGATTAACAAGTGTGTAGGGTATCTGATCCTTAGTGCTCATGCACAATCAAATAGCTTGGGTATTATTCATTGTCCATGTCCATGTCCATAAACTATGTTTATTCTTGCTATTGTTTTTCATTACTATTTTTCTTTACTCTGTTCCTCTTTTTCCATATATATTTCTTTATTTTCCACGGGTTTTATTAACAGCTGACAACCCTACAGTTGCAAAACTGAGATGTTTTTTCCATGCAAACATTACTACTGTACCCCTCTAAAAGAAATTAATGATAAACATAAAGCGTAATCTCATAAATTGCATCAATATACGCCCCCAATAGTCCTATTAAATATGTGTACAATAATTATAAACTGAATTATACTGGGAAATATTCTACCTTTTAAGACAAACTACTTTCATTTATGTTGCATGATAGAACAACAGGGACACCATTCTTGAAAAAAAAAACCCACTGTTGTCTGTAACTTTCCTCAATAAACAATCAAAAATAGATGTTAGCTGATGGAAATCCCTTGAGAGTAAAACATGTCAGTCAGTGCTACTTCACTCATCATTCATCACTAACTAGAAAATCTCAAGGACACAGCAGTCTTCCTGCAGAGAAAAAAAGACGCTGAAGCACAGAAATAAACTGTAAGTAGCTGTAAAATGCTGCCCCAATTCCCAGTGTGGGAAGACCTAGTATGATATCTTATTGTTCCAGTTATTGTCAGGAGCTGTCTGTTTTTAGGTCATCACTACTCCTGCATGCTATTGCTTCACATCAGACCCAATTAGTGTTCATTATATCCAGCATGCAGGCCTTGTCAGAGGAATTATGGGGGTATTACTTGGTTAATGTGTCTATTTTACTAATTACTGAAGGAAACCTCATTGTGACTCACAAAGTCATATTCTGTTCAGGCTGCTGTTTTTGTGTCTGTGCTTTGTCCTGAGTCATATGGTGTTTTCTACGTTTACAATCAAGGCCCATTACAATGTTTTGGCTGAAATGTTAAGGAGAAAAGTGCAAAGCCAATTTGCACTTTTATACCTGGATTTGGTTTTCTTTTAATGATAGTATTTTTTCCCATTTCTTCAAATCTCTCAGGATCTCTCAGCTCCTCTGTCACTTGTGTCATGTATATATTTAGAGAGATACTTGATTGACATCTTTTGTCCTGGAGAAAGGTCCTGGCATTTTTTCTTCAGCTGCCAGAGTATCCCTCAGAGATGCTCCAGATGTCACAATGATGTGTTCAGTGATTGGGAAGGGGGTGTTCTTTGACTCCTAATGGACAGAGATGTTGGAGCACTGAAGCGGCGAAATAAGGTTCAGGCAAAAAGAGGCAGGAGAGAGGAATGGCTATTAAATGTTAAGAGGGACTCAAAGACAGCGAGAGAGAAGATGCAGTGGAAGGAGGATATTTGAAAAGCAGCCGAGTGAAAGATAGGAAGCAGCAGATATAGTCCACACAAAAACTCCTACACACTCCTCACTTGTGCCTGCACGTCAGGCTTTAAAGAGTGGTGAAAGAGAGATAGCTATGCCATCTTCCAACCGAGTACCGTCTTTTCTCTGTCATTTTGTCTTCTGCATTTCCCTTTTATATCCTTAGTATAGGGACACACAAGTCTTCCCCCTCCAATTGTTTATGACCTAAACCTATACTTAATCTAAAATTAATTGAATCCTCTGGGTAAGTGCAGCCCTATGTTCCTCGTGGCCCCATGCCAAAGCTTTTATATTCCTGGCATAGATCCTTTTAATACAAAGGACTTTTTATTTCCCTTCATCTCCACTGTAGCACTTTGACTGACAGGCACCAATAAGACTGTCAATTATCTTATGCTAGGATTTATACCAAGGTGCCTGAAAAATCTCCATCAAAAAGACAAGAGATGTGAATGAAAGCATGACAAAGAGTGTGCAGATTTTAAATAAGGGTGATTTACAATGCAGAATAACACCTCAAAGACTTTTTATGTTTCAGATAACCAAACAGGAATGCAAAAGACGGTTGCTACCTTTAGGTGCTAAAAGAATAGCCCATTTATAATAATTTGTAATGTTTTAAAATTGTCACAAAATGTCAATTTTTTTACACATGTAATGTCTTGACTCCTCTTAAGAGAAGTAATACGAATATGTACGTAGAATGTATGCAAGATGGCACTGTATCAATAAAAATAATTGTGGAGGAATAAGCTATGAGGAATATTTCCTCCTCCACAAAGCAGCATATTAAACTCCACCATGTGGGAGAAGAATGAATCAAAAGCTACCTTACATTATGTGCTTCACCGAGAAGCTGGAAGAAAAACGCCAGTCTGCTAAGAACAAATACTCTTTCCATAACTCTAAAGGAATATCTTATGATATTCACTGACACTCTCTCTTGCCCTTACTCCCTCTCTCTCTCTCCCTCTGTCTACCTCTCTCTCCAGCTGCCTCTTTGTATCTCTCTCTTTCTTTCGTTCTGTATCCTGTCAACTTTATGGTGTAGCTACACAGCAGGATTGCCAAACAATTTTTAAATGCAGCCAGATTAAATAATGTAAACATAACTGAGAGTATGCTGCTTTGGTTTTGAAGACAATCTAAGACTGTTAGTAAAAGGCTTACCAATGCTATTGTATGACATGCATAACTGGGCTGATACCTGAGTAAACAATGTGATTCTGCAGCGGGAGGATTAAAGACTAAATAGGATTATCAGTACAATATACCTTGACATTTCTACACATTTCCATAACTGAGAAACATTAATGGGAAAATCTGCAATGTCAAAAACTGTAGTTACAGAAAAGATATTTGTGTTGTCAAGGCAGACTTGGTAAGCTGTTCAGTTCTACATGCAGCAACCATTGAGGCCTGTATGATCTATACAACAGTACTTGGAGAAAAATCATTAAAAGTAACACACTGTTCTTAGTATGAGTACATACATTTCCAAAAACCTAATTTGTGCAGTCACCATGACCTTACATGCTCAGTGTGGCTCCAAGTAGTTGGAAGAAGAAAACCATGATCAGTCTATTAATATGCTGAGATGCCTTAGAGCAGAGTGGTCCTATTTTGGAGTAAACAGTTTCAGTTCTGCCTTTTGCCAGCAGCTACATTTCCAAACGTTGTGTATGGAATTGCTTCCAATGGACTTTAATGCTTTGAACAAGGCAGCCAGTAAATGACATCAGTGCAGTGGAGAGACTGTAAATGATCCCAGTGATGCAGCCTGGGGGAGCCATTGCTGCTACTAGAGTCTTCATTTTAAATTTTCTCAATGTGCTGTATGAAGTAACACTGCTGTAAAACTTTATCACAACCAGTTAGACAGAAAATAGGCCACGTGTGTGATTCCCAAATTCTGCACTAGATTATGGATTTATGATGTCATCAGTGTTTACCTGGCATAATGCAGGATGGCAAACAATACATAGAAGAAATCTCCTGAGACGGTACCCTTTAAAAATCTATCTCTATGATATACTTTTTTGTGCCCATATTGTTGTTGTGAGTTATTAAATGGGGTGCAGGTGGCAGAGAGAATGAAAGAACTGATTAGTTTCTGTCCAACATGATATTTCCTCACATGCTCTGCAGTAAGTCTCTGTGGAGTAAACTGAGGCATGGTGTTGAATATCCCATTTCTAATAATATTGACTCCATCTGCTTATTGAGTGAATGTGTTGGATCAATCAGCATCAACCCAGTGGCCTTCACATGACATTGCACACAAAGTCAAAAGTAATAATAATTTTATATAAAAACATATGCATTTTCAAGCAATAGTTGCGAAACATGTATACAATTGTACTACTCATAATCAGAAAAGTAGTAATACTAATTATTTTCATGTCCATGGATTTTCTCTAGGGTCCTTATCTTTACCTTCTGTCTTATGAGCTCCATCGCCAACATCTGTAGTGTGATACACCCTCCAACATAAACACATCCCTCATTGGCACCCTGTGTCCATAGCTTTATCTTTATACTGCTTGGCATTAGTTATAATCCCAATAAAGATCTCAGCATCTTCTTTTTCATTTGCAGCTCAATTTCCTGTTTTTAGATTAACCCGAAATATTATACACAATACCGCGCAGCCATTGTTAAGCAGTGACAGCAGAACGGTATCATACAGTCGATGTCATCGGAGGATGTGGCACTTTTGTCTCCTCATTTCTGGGAGCTTTCTGAGTGGTCGTTCCTTTGGTGACTGTCCTCCAGGAGCTGCGCCTCGCCCCTCGGTGTCTCAGCAGCAGCAGCAGCAGCAGCAGCAGCAGAGAGATGCTGCTGCCGAGATCACATCAACAGGGCGGTGCAGACGGAGAGGGAACTACGTGTTGCTGCGCAGCAACAGATACAGAACAACGAGAGAGAGGGAGAAGGAGAGAGAGAGGGATGGAAAAGTGAGAGGGAGAGAGAGGGAGGAATTCCCTCGCACGAACAAAAGCGACACGTCTTCCGGGGCGTGTATTGTATCTCTTTACGCCTGGTGCTTGCGGCTGAATGAGGTCTAAACGCCACTGGATGCAGGGTGTGAGGACCACCGTGATGCTCCACCAAGCTCTGAGAACGACATCCGAAGAAGCAGGGACGAACATTTCTTCCTATTTTGGAGACACGATCACGTTTGACATCGTGCAGACTAGACGGTGTTTCAGTCTCCTCCTCTGTTAAAGATGTGAGGATCAAGCCGACACACAGACGCGCCTGTCTGGGCTCCAGAGGACACTTGTCTCTAATGTGTCTACATTTTAAAAACTGAACTTTCTTCCTCGCCTCGAAATTGCAATATGCCATCACCAAAGTTGGATCTCAGAGTTTTCCTGTAGGAGGACTCAGTGAAAAGGTTTAAAGTAAGTTACATGCGTCTTTGTTTCAGCACGCGGCTCTAGTAGAAAATATATTTATTTCTTTTTTGATGCTCTTGCTCAAAATATCTTCGTGATTGTTTATTTCGAATCTGCTCCTTTTTGTACTTTATTTCATGCGTCCCTTTCTTTGTGCTTTTTATATCAACCTTTGTGGGTCCTGCGTCTCCGGGTGCCCCCCCCCCCTGCGTCTGCAGAAATGACAGGTCAGATTCAAGTAGAATCGTGCAGCGGGGTTCACATGGATGACAACGCTGCCATCCGCATCAATGTGGGCGGCTTCAAGAAGCGTCTCCAGTCCGACACTCTCTCCCGATTCCCGGAGACCAGACTGGCGCGTCTGCTCCACTGTCAGTCCAAAGAGTCCATACTGGAGCTGTGCGACGACTACGACGACGCAGAGAAAGAGTTTTACTTCGACAGAAACCCAGCTCTTTTTCCTTATGTGCTGAACTTCTACAACACGGGGCGGCTGCACGTCATGGCCGAGCTGTGCATCTTCTCCTTCAGCCAAGAAATCGAGTATTGGGGCATCAACGAGTTCTTCATCGACTCCTGCTGTAGCGGTGCGTACCACTGTAGGAAAATGGACCAGGACCGTGAGGACTGGGATGATCGGAGCGATGAAGGCAGCACCACCTCATCTTTTGACGAGCTGTTGGAGTTTTACAACGACGCCACCAAGTTTGACAAACAGTTTTTCGGGAGCGCACGGAGGCGCATCTGGTTAATGCTGGACAACCCCGGTTATTCCATACCCAGTCGCATTATCAGCATTCTCTCCATCCTGGTGGTGCTTGGCTCCATTGCCACCATGTGCATGAACAGCATGAGCGAGTTCACTCTGACGGACAGCCAGGGGCAGCCCACGGAGGATCCACGCTTCGAAACTGTGGAGCACTTTGGCATCGGCTGGTTCACCCTGGAGCTCGTGGCACGCTTCATAGTGGCCCCGGATCTTCTGCATTTCTTCGACCACCCACTGAACGTTATAGACTTGGTATCGATACTTCCGTTTTATCTGACACTGCTTATAAACCTGGTGGTGGAGAGCAGCCCAGCCCTGGCAAACCTGGGACGAGTTGCGCAAGTGCTGAGGCTGATGAGGATTTTCCGCATCCTAAAACTGGCCCGTCACTCCACAGGGCTGCGGTCCCTGGGGGCCACACTCAGAAACAGCTACAAAGAGGTTGGTCTGCTGCTCCTCTATCTGGCCGTCGGAGTTTCCTTTTTCTCCGTGATGGCTTACACGGTGGAGAAAGAGGACACTGAGGATCTCTCCACCATTCCTGCCTGTTGGTGGTGGGCCACCGTCAGCATGACAACGGTTGGCTACGGGGATGTGGTGCCTCTGTCCATTCCGGGGAAACTGACCGCCTCGGCCTGCATCCTGGCTGGAATCTTAGTAGTTGTGCTTCCAATTACGCTCATTTTCAACAAGTTCTCTCTTTTCTACAAGAGACAGAGACAGCTGGAGATAGCGATGAGAAGCTGCAACTTCGACGAAGGCATCAAAGAGGTGCCCTCCGTCAACCTGAGGAACTATTACGCACACAAAGTCAAATCCCTAATGGCCAGTTTATCCAACATGAGCCGGAGTTCTCCCAGTGAGCAGAGTTTGAATGAGTCCATACACTGACGCAGTTTTATCCGGGGATCTAATCTCTGTGGCTCGGTGGTTTCACCGTTTGTTTATTTCGTAGCGGTTGCATGAGGAGCTGTCCCCGGTGCTGAATTACAGACCGTACGCAAGTAACAAAATGATTCTCTCGTAGCCTACTGTTAAGCCCCGACAAAAGACGCCATGCGGTGGTCTTCTGGTTTCCAAACTTTTACACATTAGTAACCCTCAAAGATTGCAAGTCCAAGTAGCGATGACATTCTTATTGGAATAGTCTCAGACCTTCGTTTTAAAATATCTAATAAGCAAATGCTGCAATGTACTGTAGATAGCAAAACTGAAAGTCAGAATAAGACAACTTCGGGCCAGGTGACTGAAGGTTAAATATATAGTTATTATATAAGCAAATTCTATTACAATTAACCCCCCCCCCCCCAAAAAAAAGTAGCCTAGTTGACTTTCTTTTAATAAAAATATTTTCTGGACATCATTTCTTGAAACTAAAAAAATGTAACCAAATGTGGGTACATAGAAACATTAAATCAACTGACAGATTATACTGATAAGAAGTTCTGTAATGTAAACAGAGGGTGATAATACTGTGCGATTAGGATTGACTCCAGTAATGTGAATTATTTTCAACCAGGTTTCTTCACAGTCACCGCTGACACACGTATGACTAAAATTATACTTACTTATATCAACATGGATTTAAGTTAATTAAAAAAACAAGTTAATTCATACATAAGTGGTGGACCTTTAGTCTTTTTAGGGGAAGGGGATTCCTTCAACAGCTTAGTCGTCGGCGTCCCATGTTGCCTCATTGTTTAAAGGTTGGGTTTGTAAACATATGGTTACCGGTTTGAATCCAGGCGCCAGCAGGACTTTGGTATCTTGAGCAAAAACCAAGAAGACGCCCACTTTTTTTGAGCATTATAAAGGTCATCCAAGAGATAATCACTCCATGCCCATTTCTTATAATCACTGGAGTGTTCACAGATAAGCTAAATGTTTTGAGACATAACCTTATGGGGTTAGTGCTACAAATGATGTCTGATTGTTTGCCTATCTGTAGCTCAGTGCAATACTGTGTTGATCTATATGTCAGTAACAAAGAGAAAACAACTAAATGTAAAAGCGAGCCTGAATTTATTGTGTCACTGTGCAACTTCATAGTCCCTCCACAGACAGGCCAAACAGAAATTGGCAGCGTCAGATCAAAAGAAGACAGAGAATGCTGTTGGCGTTTCAAATCCTAGAAGGTGTCACACTGTTGTCCAGCTATACTCAATGTACTGAATCTGTCTGAAAGTAACTCCAGGTGTATCCTGTTCTATTGTGTCAACATGTACAGTGAATTGTGGTGTTGCTGCAAGATGACATTAGACATGTGTATAAAAGGTATTAAACAAGAAACTACACAGAAAACATGTACCTCTTTGTCTCTTACTGTGCAGATCAGAGCAAGGCTGTCACAGTCAACTCACAGTGTGAGCTTTTGTGATTAGGATTACACATTAAAGGGGAGAGATGGATTCATGCTCGTGACTGACACTAATCCCTCAAAGGATTTTGTTTTCTGACTGCGTCTCAGTTTCAGTAGATAAAACTGATCTTTTTATATTAATATATTTTATTAGTATTTATTTTATTTTTTATTTTCACAGTTAATGGACAACAGCAAAATCACACTGTAAAAGCTTAACACGTAAATGTAAAAATGTCTGTATTTTTATTTAGCATATTCATTTTTAATATTATTATTAATAAAAATTTTATTTAGCATATTCATTTTTAATATTTCATGTCAATAGCTGAAATATACACCAGCATGCCACTTTATAAAATATAGCCTGCTGGTAGCAGCTTAAATGCCCCGTTCAGACATGTTGGTATCCCTTGGGTCAAATTGGCCATATTGACATATTTGCATTCTAAAAACAATTTGTTTTTAAAAAGGGACATTTAATTCCACTGGGGCAGAGCAAAGCTGTTAAAAACCTTCTATCTCTGATTGTGTGGTGTCTCTGGTGTCAGAGGACTCTGTCACTGGAGCAGAAATTCGACAGAAAGCACTCACTTAGTGGCATCGATTTTCCTCTTAAGGATGAAGAGCTGTTTGATATGACACTGATCCAACTCTGAAGAGCCAATTATTTTGTCATTCCTTGTTTTGGTGCAGTTTGCAACACTGATGTGGGATTTCTTAATTGGAAAATCATTTGCTATTCTAGACATTTCATAAAGTAATCAACAGCACAATGCGTCAACGTGACATAGGTCTAATTTCTTTATTTCTATTTTCCAGTGATTCGATACCATTATAAATTTGAAACTACCCTTGTTTTAGAGAAAAACAACAATAATAAATAAAGGGAATAAGGGGAAGTTATCACTGGACTACAACTGTGGCAACCATTGGGGAAAAAAGGGACAAGATGAAAGCGATTGTTCCTCTTCCTCATTTAAAAACCTATAAGGTCAAGGGGTAAAAACATTGTTTGGTGGTTTTCCAAGTATCTCTGGGCTGTTTACTTGAAACATTTACCCCCTGAGGCCAATTAAATCACTGTTCTTTTGTTTACTGCTAAACCTTTAAAGCCCTTTTCCTTTGGAGCTAAATCAAAACACTAACAAAAGATTAAAAAAGTCGACACCAACAACAGGTTATATTTTATCATGTACCAGAGGTATAGCCTCAAACCATAGTTAATCTATCCTTTAGAATATACAGTATATATATATATATATATATATATATATATGTGTGTGTGTGTGTATATATATATATGTGTATATATATATATATGTGTATATATATATATATGTGTATATATATATATGTATATATATATATATATATATATGTATATATATATATATATATATATATATATATATATATATATGTATAAAGATATAGATTTAGAGCAGCTATATTTTAAAGCAGTGGAGTTTTGGAGAATTAACATGATCAAGACATATTTTGGATGTTGGTGGGGTTGTGACTCCTAAGAAAGACAAGTAATGTCTGGTTTCTTTAAAAGCCCTCCCATTGACTTTTGCACATCATTACCTTCTGACTGAGCTTCTAGCTGTAATGAAAGCCTGGTGCAAAGCTTGAATACAGCAGGGTAAAGATAGAAGTCCTGGTCATTAGAGCAAAAATGATCATAAATAAGACTCTGCTTTCTTTACGCTCAATGCAAAAATAAATATCATCACAACATTCTGTGTCATTATATTGAACTCAGGTCTCCAGAATGTGTAAGACAAAATAATGAGATACCCAATATCCTTCAACTGCTTTCTTTACCAGCTTATGTATTATATAATACCTTGTTTATTTGCCTATGTATAGTAGTTAAAAAAAAATCTAAATTTGGATAGCCAACAAAACATTGCTATGTAATTTAATCTAATAATGGCGCTAATGCAATTTCAGATTATCACTTATTAGTCTGACGACGACCTTGTTGAAACTGACAGCACAAGCGTCATCGTCAGTCTGGTCTGTATGGCCGATAGAAAACTCTGTTACAATGCAGGCAGTCCTTGTTGTCGCACATTACCATCTGTTACAGTATCGCTTCTTCAAACTGTGTGGGAAGATTTGATCTTTGTAATGCATGCTTCGGGTTTTGTTTTTTTTTACAACCCCTTACTCCCTGCCTGATCTTACCATCTTGGATTGGTGAACATTCATAATATACAAGTAATCACTGATCAGATCATGGAATAGCTAATTATCCGCTCTACAGCTAAAGTAGAGGCAGACACAGACAATAGAAAAAAAAAGTCAAACTAGTACTACAAAAAGTTGTTTTCAAAGTAATATAAAGAGTTAATTTTGTGGTTACAGTGAAGGTCTTTGCATTTTATGAAGCTTGAAAATGAGCTGATATTTCCTTTACTAGAAGACATAACATATTATAATACCACATCCCCTCCTCTGACAATGCCTGACCCCATTTACCTGCCCCTTTATATAAATAATTTATGGCTTTTGAGAGCGTACAGTTACTTTATTTAAACTATTTTAATTATTGAACAAAGTTCTATTTGGAGGTATGCCTCTATAGGCTCTTCCAGATCTTCCATGTACATGTGTGAAAAAGAATGAGAAGGACACATATACAGTGTACTGTACACACATACTGTATAGATGGAGAATAACACAAGATTAAGAATCCTTGCAGTTGAGTCAATGCCGAATAATTAAACTCACTTGCCTTTATGAAAAATCAGCCGAGCACATTTATTATTTTAAGGGCTTCTTTGCAACTCAAATCTGCCACCAGATACCACAGTCCATTTTATTGGTACCATTGATGGTAAAAATGATGTTCTCTGTTTTTTTTTTACTCCATCTAAAAAAGGAGACAATAAGAATCGTCCAGCTTCAAGCAAATTCCAATAGCAATCATATTAACTCACTATTTAGACCTACTTTATATTCTTTGGTAGACTTTATTTTAAGAAACCTCAGTATGCAGGAGGAGAAATATGTGTGAGCAAAATCTGAAGCACATTGAGTATTTTTTGTTGTCGATTATCAGGGACGGTTTTGCTAAATTGAAGAATATGTATTTTCCACTACAGTGTTGAACCCACAGGTGATGCAGAAAGTCAGGCAGACTCAGATTTAATCTATTATTATGCTTGGGTGGATGGTGGTGAGTGCAGTCAGGAGGACAGACACAATCAGACTTTTCCTATAAATTCAGAGTCAGAGGATAAATAGTATGGCAGATGCAAAATGCCGCTGTGAAGTGTAGTGTGTGTGATAGGTTTGGAAGGCCATTTGTTTGATAATGCAGTTTTTTAAGGCTGGTGTGTATGTATGCATACTTGTGGTCCATTACTTCCATTCTGAAGCATCATCCTCCAGGAAGTGCCAAGGACAGCAGTGCAGGCCTTTTGAACAGGAGTGTGTCTAAAAGCTTTGGTGAAAATTGCACCTGCGCTCGATGTGTTGACGTCAGTAATGTCATAAAAAACCCAGATCTGAAGGTCTGTGCTTAAAAAAAAAGTTGTTTGCTCTTTGGCAATAATAAAGGAGACAAAATGAAAAACAGCAAGTGATCGTTGAGTTGCCTTCCAACAAAAAGCTTATAAGACTTCAAGTGTGATGAACAATTGCCACAGAATTCGCAGTGGTAATAATGATGTTTACAGCCCTCAAATAGGAGCACTGAAGGATGCAAGAGTTCAGTGGTACATGATTGGAAGCAAAACACGTTGTGATTCCATTATAAGCAGAGAATAGATTAAAGTGCACATGCTGAATAGAAAATAAAAAAGCAGCTGTTGGCAAGATGTGGGGTTTGTGCTGTTGTTAGGTGAAAGCGCAATACAATGTGAGAGTGTAAGTAGCAGAGGCTGTGATAACATATTGTGAGACATGATGCCAGTGTAATGGCTTAATGAATCTTTTTCTGTTACACGGAGCTGCAGCTCCGATCTTTTCTTCTTTTCTCCCTTCTTCTCCGTCAATACTGCAGCACTTGATCGTCAGCTCACTAAATACTGAGGACTATATTCATTCCTTTGAAACAATAAGTATGAACGATAATTGCTTAATTTGATATAATTGCAGCACAGTACCGTGGATGGTGTGTTTAATTGTCTTTCAAACCCACCTGGTGCTAGAATTACACTGCACATACTGATGCAGCTGCTCCAGAGGGACCACATCATAAAACCAAACTGATGATGGAAACAAACTGAGCTTCGTGCTCATTCTCCAGGCTACATATGGTTAGCCACTACAGTACCACAGACAGAGACAGTCAGTTACTTACTATTTGAACTGAGTCCCTTCATCTCCATTAGTCTCAAAAGCTGTTGAAATAATAACATTCACAAATAAATGTAGTCATTTTTTCCCAAACTGTGTAACAATAACAAGGTTGTCTCCAAAGTTTGTCCCAGCACTCACTTTAAGTAATTGGACAGATTTTATAGGAGTACTTTTAAAAGAATTAATTTTCTTTTCTTTTTATACAGTATGCAGTATAGTAATCTTTTTGCTAATTTCAATGTGATTCTGGTTATAATTATTAACTGTTGACTAAGTTTCTTTTGGTGGGGATATTGTCCTTAACTTATTAACATTTTTATGTCACTGGTTTGGTCAGCCATTTTTAACCAAGAACTAAATAATCAATAAAAGATGTTTGGGCATTAACAGTCCCAGTAGACCCAATTACTGTCATATTTAATTCCAGGTAAATCACCTTTCTTCTACGTTCTGATGGTAAATTTGTTCATTTTAAGCTAATTTCTGTAGCTTTTGTTGGCCACGTCTAAAATGCATTTGAAAGTTACTGTTATATCCTCAGCTAATTAGATATTTCTATTACTGATCAGTTAAATTAGCAAAGCAGCATACCTAATGAAGTGGCTCATCAGTGTGTGCCTCTGTAAACACCGAATCAAACATGTATGTCCCAGTTAGAGCAAAGCTTCCTTGGCAGTGAGGACATGGTCATATTTAATTTTAAAATGTTT